TTTGTGTGCCGCGCGGCGCGCAGCGGCGGGCCGGGGTCTGCGGGGCGTGGGGCGGGCGGCCGGGCGGCATGGAGGAGCTGAGCAGCGTGGGCGAGCAGGTCTTCGCCGCCGAGTGCATCCTGAGCAAGCGGCTCCGCAAGGTGCGTGCGCCCCCCACCCTCCGCCCGGTTCCCGCGCGCGCCCGGGGTGCCCCAGGGAAGCTCACCGCCCGCTCTTCTCCCCCCGCAGGGCAAGCTGGAGTACCTGGTCAAGTGGCGCGGCTGGTCCTCCAAGTGAGTCCCCGTGCGCGTGGCCGCCTTCCCGCGCGCAACGCCCACCACCCCTCCGGGCCCGGGTGGAGACGGCGTGGGGACCCTCGCCCGGGCCATCGCGCGCCGAGGCGGGAAGTTCTCTGGCTCTGGATGGTGCGGGTGCCGGCTCGGCCCGCGGCTTGCCCTTTGTTTACGAGCCCCACGGGGACCCGGCAGGGCGGTCTCCAGCTCCGAGCCCCGCGGCCCGCGCGCTCCTGGCGCCCATTTGTTGCGTGCGCCCCCGCCCCGGAGCCGGCCGCGGCTGGCGCGGGACGCGTGCCCCCTCCCCTTGCCCATATTTACCCCGCTGTAACCTGAGATTCCTACTGGTGGGAGGGCTCCTTTTTTTTACCCCTTTCTTCCTTTTTAATGAGGGGAGGGGACCTGGCCGCCTCCGGAAGGGGCTCCCTTCGACTCTGCTCCGCACCTCCTTTCTTCCTGGACCCCACTCCCCTTTCCGATGCCCCCCCAAACCCTCCGGTGCCCAGCCCGCGCTCGCTGGGGGGTTGCCCGCCACATTGTTTGGAGTCCACGGCCGCGTCTGCGCCCCTCTGCTCCCCCTCCCCGACCGGCCTTCCTTCCTGGCTCAGGGCCAGGCCCGGGGGATTCCCTCTTGGCTGCTTTGCGTTTTATTGGGATTTGTTTTCTTCCCAGGCGCTGACTGTTGAGTCCTCTTGTGGCCTGCTGTGACTCGGGGGCTTGAGGTGGCAGCTTTGCCTGTGGGTTGAGGTTGCAAGACTGGCTTCAAGGGCCCCTGGGACCTAGGTTGGCATCTCAGAGCACTGCCTCTCCCCACGGTGCCCCTTGCCCCCAGCAGGGCTCGGGGAGCCGGCCTGGCAGCTCACTTGGCTGCTGCTGCCTACCTGCTCACAGGCCCTGCCCTTTGCTTTTCCAGACATAACAGCTGGGAGCCAGAGGAGAACATCTTGGACCCGAGGCTGCTCCTAGCTTTCCAGAAGAAGTGAGCATGTTAACAGCACTCGTGAGGAGGGAAGAGTTTGGGCAGAACTGACTGGTCACACAGTGCCCCCTCCAAGGGGCCAGGGCTGTGGTGTGAGGTCCCCTAGCAAGACTGTCCCCAGGCCTCTGTTGCTGGTTGTAAAGGAGGAGCATCTTACGGTCCCCCATCATCTCTTCCCTCTGGGCCCCTAGTATGTGGCTTTGGTCTTTCAGGTGGCCAGACTTGAAAAACATGAAGCTTCTTGCTTCATGCAAAAGTTCTAGTTTCTCTTGGCCTTTTCTGTGAAGTAACTTGCAGACTATATTAACTGGAGCTGAGGTTGTGAGCCAGCCATTATAAAGTAGGCTTGTCCTGCGACCCCCGGGAGAGTGTGCCTTGAGGTCAGGAGATGGCTGGAGGGGTGCTGGGACCCACAGTATACAGTGATGCCGATGGAGTACAGACCAACTGGTGCGTTTTGCTCTGGGCTTCGCAACAGCTCTGGTGTTTCAAGACTCTGCTTGGATTTGCTTCTGTCGTTGCAGGTGTCCTGCTTTTAGTTGGGAGAGGTGGGTTAAGAGAGGACTCGATCTGTAAGGTGGTGTTGGGAAAGGGGTGTTAACAGGGTTGAGGAACGCACCACCTCATCCCAGCATGAAGGTCCAGCATGTGGGTAATGGCACTGACGCATTCCTACTGCGGAAGCTTGGCTCTGTTGATGGAGGCTGATGAATGGGTGTTCAAAAGCCTTTTTAGCGGGGGTCAGTCTGTCGGGCTTGTTCTTTGGTAGTCCTGGCTGTGTTCAGTGCTTTTTCACTAACAGGACATTGTACAGAGGGGTCTTGGGGATAGGTTTTGGGCAGGATGAGGGAGTGGGTGTGCTTTGCTGGCTCAAGTTCCTTTGGACCTGCTGATATCAGCAAACTCCTTGCTTTCTACATAACTCATAACTTGGTCCTCTAAGCTCGGGAGGAAGGGCTTGGCACTTTTGGGGAGCTGGTCTGTTTTTCTGTATTTAGGATGGTGTCCATGGACCAGGTGTTGTTGGACATACCTGCAGTCCCTGCTACTCGGGAAGCTGAGGTGGAGAGGGGCGGGCCACACTTACGGCCCATGTAGCAAGCCCCTGCTTCACAGATGAAATCATGTGGCTTAGTGGGGCAGGGCGCTTACCCTGGTTCCACTCATCACTCTCCAAAGGAGATGCAGGAGATCTTTGACCTAGATTTTTGTAAGCGCCAGAATATTCAAGAGGTGTCACCATGGGAATGTCTAGGTCACAACATGGGAGAGGGAAAAAAAGAGAGGTCTCTCTTCCAGTCCACCAAGATCATCTTTCTGGATACTGGGAACTGCAGTTAATTCTTAGCCAGGGAGGAGCCTCTATAGGTGAGGAAATCAGATTCACAGCACAGCAGATCCAGGAGATGCCCCCATGAAGTTTAGGAGGTTGAGAGCTAGGGCTGTTCTGGGGGTAGGGGGTAAGTTTTGCCTGGAATTCTAATTAGTTTCTTTACAAGATCACTGTCCAGGACCCCAGTGAGGTATTGTTTGGTTATTTCCTTTTAGAACTTTATATATATATATATATTTGTATGTTTTCTTAGGGGTAGGGGTTTTCTTGTGCAACAGGATGCATGTGGGAGTCAGAGAACAACCTGGAGGAATTGTTTTTTCTCTTTGACCATGTGGGTTCTGGGGCTCAAACTCAAGTTGTCAAGCTTGGCAGCAAGCTCCTTACCCCACTGAACCATCTCATCAGCCTTGTTTGGCTGTTTTGATCACTTGAGAATCTCCTCCAGATAGATCTGACCGGATAACCTGAAATCCGAGCTTCCTCCAGGGACTGGCAATAGTGCTCTTGGGTACAGGCTCTGAGCTGTGGCTGCTAGGGACCGGGTAACTTCACTCCTTCCATAAGAGCAGAGTTCTAGGGGAGTTAGAGAGAAAATTCCAGGAGCTGGGACAATGTGCATCAAGCAGTCTGGGTCTGAGAAGCCAGGGAGGCATAAGCACACTGGAGCCCTCAGTGTCAGGACCCACAGACCGAGAGGATTTCCTGCACTTAGCACATACTGAAGGGTATTCTTTGTGAGCTCCATGCCCTATGGAAGTGAGGAGGTTAGACCATACAGCCTCAAAGGCTGCTTTTGAGTACAGGAGGGGCTCGGGTTTCCACAGAGCACTGCACCTACGGAGAGTTTTCTTAGGAGAAGAATGAGAAGTTTCACAGCTTTGTTCTGTCTTGAGCTGCACTCTGGCCAGTGCAAGTGAAGGACACTGACCAGGACCCCAGAACCGGGGTCTGGCCCTCCGCCATGGGTGTCAGGTGGATGAGATTCATTTTTAGCTACAAAACTGATGATAAGCTACCACAGACTAGATCAGCAGCCGTCCCTGCAGAGCTGAGGGTGGGGACTGAAGCCATGGGGTCCCTGTGTGGTGGGGAGGGGGTTTGCAAGCGGGCTGCTCCATGCTGATTGGTGCTGTGTCTTCAGGGAGCAGGAGAAGGAGGTGCAGAGCAGGAAGAGAGGTAAGAGGCCAAGGGGCAGGCCCAGGAAGCACACTGTGATGTCATCCTGCAGCCGGCGCTCCAAGCTCAAGGTAAGTGGCCACAGGCTTTGTGCTGTTCTGATTTTGCTCCAGGTAGGGGTTTTTCGGGGGAGCTGATGGGATAGACCCTTCTGTAGGTCCTTCCCCTGCTTGGGAACTGGAGGTCCTTCCTGTTACCTCTCCAGGCCTCTGCCAGTGGAGGGCACCAGCAGGCAGCAGAGTGCCTGCTCTTGATCCACCTCGAGGCCCCCTTAGGTGCTTCTTCCCTCAGTAGAATCTATTCCACTACAGTTTTCCCTCCTGTATAGCAGCATCAAACTTGGTAGGTAACTGACTCCTCTCACACCCAGGCTCCTCATCAGGCTAGCCTACATGTAGTACATGTTCATAGGTTTGTCAAGGAGTTGTGGACCAACAGGGTGTCTGGGCAAGCCCGGAATACTGGGCCATGAAGAGTGGACAGACCAGCCAGGAAATGGGCAGAGATGCAGTGATGCTCTGCTGGGGCCTCCTCAGGGTGTCGGGCTGGCTCTACCTGCTGTGGTGAGTGAGAGGAGGGCTTCCACACACCAGGGGGCCTTGGCATCTCTGTTGCTCCCCTGTGACAGATCAGAGGCAGGATAGGAAAGAGAGTTGTAGTCTCGGGCTTAGGTGTATCTCTGCTTGCTGCTTGGACTTTGCTCCTAGACCTAGCATGCCCTGCCTTGCCATGACGAGCAAGGGTATGGGTCTGCCCTGGTCACCATCTTCCTAGCATGAGGGGATAAGCCACAGAGGTCCTACTGACTGAGAAGGAATTTTGGTGGGTTGATGAGGCCGGGTGTTTGCAGGGGAGGCCTGGGGCCCCCAGGTTTGATTGGCTCAGCCCCTGTCTGAGTCAGGAGAGCATTGCCATAAAGCTACTGTGCAAGATTCTGGTCTCAATGGGCAGCATGACATACACTTAGATACACTAAGATACACTTAGCATTGGGGTAGGAGGAGAAAGACACTGGTCTGTTTACCTGGGTGCTGCTGGGCTCTGAGAGCTTGGCCTTAGAGTGGGAGATGGAAGGACGGTTTGCAAAGACAAAACTATGCTCTGTGTCATTTGCCTTAGCCAAGAGACAGGAGGCCTTGCTTCTTGGGACCCACTTCCTTTCTCTAGCTTCCAGGCAACCTGGCACTAACTTGTCACGCTGGAAACCCAAGAGCGTGAGGATGTGATGTGTGTGACTTCTTCCTTACTCAGACATCATTTGACAAAAAGCCTGTTTGTGTTTCTTCCTACCCTGCCTTTAATTTTGTGTTCCATAAAGCCTGGTTTGTTTGTTTTTTGTTTTTTTTTGAGACTTAAATATTATGTGTGTGTGAGTCTTTTGTCTGCATTAATATAAGTGTACCACATGTGGACATCGCCCACAGAGGGTAGGAGAGAGCATTGGATCCCCTAGAATTGGAGTTACAGGCAGTTGTGAGCTGCCTTGTGGGTGCTGGGAACCAAACCTAGGTTCTCTGCAAGAGCAGCCAGTGCTCTTAACTGCTGAGCCATCTCTCCAGCCCCTCAGCATGGTCTCCAGCATGGTCAGCAGTTGCTCCTCCCTCACTGCCAGGGTCTGAACACTCCTGGAGCCTGGGGCTGCTTAGACAGAGCACAGGGCCCTGGACCAGACAGCAGAGACTGAGCTTCTACCCACTTGTCTTTGCAGGAACCAGATGCTCCCTCCAAGTCTAAATCCAGCAGTTCCTCCTCTTCCTCTACGTCTTCCTCCTCTTCCTCAGACGAAGAAGATGACAGTGACCTGGACTCCAAGAGGGGCCCCCGAGGCCGTGAGACTCACCCCGTACCTCAGAAGAAGGCCCAGATCCTGGTAGCCAAGCCAGAGCTGAAAGATCCCATTCGTAAGAAACGAGGCCGCAAGCCCCTGCCCCCAGAGCAGAAGGCAGCTCGGAGACCTGTGAGCCTGGCTAAGGTGCTGAAGACCGCCCGGAAGGACCTGGGGACCCCGGCCAGCAAGCTGCCTCCTCCACTCAGTGCTCCCGTCGCAGGCTTGGCAGCCCTCAAAGCCCACACCAAGGAGGCCTGCAGTGGCCCCAGCGCCATGGCAACCCCAGAGAACCTGGCCAGCCTGATGAAAGGCATGGCCGGGAGCCCTAGCCGCGGTGGCATCAGCTGGCAGAGCTCCATCGTGCACTACATGAACCGCATGAGCCAGAGTCAGGCCCAGGCTGCCAACCGACTGGCGCTCAAGGCCCAGGCCACCAGCAAGTGCAGCCTGGGGCTGGACCTGAAGGTGAGGACACAGAAGGGGGAGCTGGGGCTGAGCCCCACAGGAAGCAAAGTCCCGAAGGCCCCTGGCAGTGGGGCTGCAGAGCAAAAAGGGAGTAGTTCAGGGGGTCCCCAACATAGCCACAGTGGGAGCAAGGTCCCTGCCGGGGGTTCGGGCTCCCAGCTGACCCCTACTCAGGAGCTAAGCCTTCAAGTCTTGGACTTACAGAGCGTCAAGAACGGCATGCCTGGCATGGGCCTGCTGGCCCGCCATGCTACGGCCACCAAGGCCATCCCTGCCACCGGGAAAGGCCCTGGTGGCGGCCCCACAGGAGTGAGTGGGACCAGCATACCCACAGACACCAGCAAAGGCGAGAAGCTGGCCTCCAAGGTGGCAGCTCTGCCCGCCCCTTCGTGCAAGAGGGATAGTGTCAAGGGCATTGCTGCCCCCGGTGGGCAGGAGGGCCACACAGCCCCGGGAGAAGGCCGCAAGGCACCTGCGCTGTCTGAGATGAGCACAGGCGAGGAGAACAGTAGCTCGGACTCAGACCCGGACTCATCCTCACTCCCCAGTGCTGGGCAGAACCTGTCTGTATCTGTCCAGACCAGCCAGGACTGGAAACCTACCCGCAGCCTCATTGAGCATGTCTTTGTCACCGATGTCACAGCCAATCTCATCACTGTCACGGTGAAGGAGTCACCCACCAGCGTGGGCTTCTTCAACCTGAGGCATTATTAAGACTGGCCTGAGTCAGGCCTGCCTTCCAGTGTCTGATTTGCTTTGATGCCTGACCCAGGGTGCCAGCCCCACTGTGCCCTGAGACTTTGGGCTGGGAACTGCCTTCCTTGCCCTGCTGGAGCCTGGTTTCCCTGGTGATCCTACCTCTCTGGACCTCCACATCACTCTCCTCTGTATCCTGTTGCCTCAGGAAATCTAGGTGGCCAGTGGCTCAAGGCTTCTGCTTGGACCAAGCAGTTTCCTTTAATTCATGCCCCTCCTTGGCCTAATGAGACCCTTCTCTTCCTTACCCCTGTTTCTGCTGATGGGTCAGTCTGTGGAGGGGGTTCTGGTACAGCTGAATCTTTCCCCCCCATGGGGGGAGAGCTGGAGCAGGCAGGACCCCACCCCCAGCAGTGCCAGGGCCTTCATGGTGAGGTAAGGATCCTGTCCTTGACTGGTGAGCCTGGGTCCTCACTGGAAGGGGATAATTAGTTGGAAGGGTGAGCCCGGAAACCCTGCAGAGGTCTGGTTCAATGTGTCTGTTCCTGGTGCAGTTATATCTCCAGCCACAAGCCCAGCCGGGGTTTGAGGGTTTGGAGGGTGTCATCCCCATGACACCCGTGTGCACCTAAGTGCCACCATGCTCTGGAACAAGGGAACTCGGGGAGACCTGCCTCCTTCCTGCAGCCCTGAGTCCCAGTGAGAAGTGCCCCTGTTCCCCTCTGGACCCAGACCTGCATTCCTTTCTTGGGCCTGGTATGACCAAGTTCTGAGGGGCTGAAGCTGCTCGGCTTTGGAAAGGGGTAGACACTAGAGACCCAGAGATGGCTGGAGTAAGGAGTTTCCAGTCCTGGGCTGGCAAGCCTCTCTACTTTGGAACCTTCTGTAATACAGGACTGACTTAAGCCTTAATTAGGGACTTGTAAGTCACTTTGGCAGTTCCAGTGTGGGAATGCAGGTGCCTCCTGCAGGCCCATCACCCTGCTGCCTGTTTGTGGGCTCCAGACTATCATGCAGGTTTTTGCTGTAGTTAGGCCTGCCACAGCCACCCTGGTGCTGAGCCCTGCCTAGTGGATGGGCCGTTCTTAGGGTGCCACTTTTCCCTGACAATCCTCTCCCATGTTTGGGGGCTTGTGTTCTCCTTCCCAGTTGAGAAGCAATATCCTTGTACCATTTGGAATGTGGAACAGTTTGGCAGCCCTGAGAACACCCCCTGCCCCCATCCTCAGGACTTTTTCCAGTTCTGAGCCCCTTTGTAGATGCCTTCCCCTACCCACCTTCAACCCCAGGTAGCTGTCTTAAAACTACCTTTTCAAACTGCTGGCCAGTGTCTGGATTTCTGTCCTGGATTGTCATCTTAGGGCAGTGACAGTCTGGCCAGTAAGTCTGTAATGCCAAAAAGTGTGGGTGGTATGGAACCCTCATTTCTGCTTCTGCTGTTGGGTGGTCAGCTGGCAGGTGTGGGCTCTTCAGTTCCCTTCCATGAAGACGCTTCCCTTCCCCAAACCAGCTCCTACGGAGTGGGCTGTGGTGTCAGGGAACTGCCAGTCTGCAAGTGTCCCCGGCAGCTCACCCCCCGCACCAAATAAGACATGGCCTTTGTATAGCCAAACAGACCTCAGCAGTGTGCCTTTGGGGACAGACCCACACCCATAGCTCCTGAGAACTGCCCACAGGCAAACCTCTGGGTCCAGCACCCAGGGGTCTTGCTGCCTGCAAACGGGAGCTGTTCACAGAAGACTAGGGCCAAGGAAGTGGGCAGCAGAGGAAGTAGCTGCTGACTGGCCATTAGCCCCTGCCTTCCTCCCTGTCCTCATCCAAGGTCCTCTTGCTACCTTTCTCAAGTTTAGCAGCTTATTTTGTGCCAGACACTGCCTTAGAGACTCCTCCAAGTCCTTTGGGGGTCCCATGAGCTGTTGGAGAAGTGTAAGTGTGGGTGTCTGGGTTGGCCAGCTTTTTTTCCCAGCCGCCAAGTCTCCAAACCCCAATGTGGTGCCTTTTTTTTTACCAGCTACTTCAATCCCAAAGTTGAAATCTGCAAACACCTTACTCCCAGCCACTTTGCCTTGCTGTGTGGTGTGTTTTTCCTGGTGCTTGACATCAGTGGTCTGATACAAAGAGTGTGTGTGCAGTGTGCAGGCACAAGAACCCCGCTGGAGAAGCGCCCACCTGTTCCAAGTTGGTTGTCTCATGTTTACCAATAAATAAAAGTAGTGTTTTTTCTATTTTTCGTTTGCTGCCCTGTGTGTGTGTGTGTAGCTAGGCATCAGGCACATGTCTAACTTAAGATGTATCCTGCCGGGCATGGTGGCCCACATCTTTAATCTCAGCACTTGGGAGGCAGAGGCAGGTGGATCTCTACCTGGTCTACATAGTTCTAGGACAGCTGGGGCTACAGGGAGACCCTGTCTCAAAAAAACCAAAAAAAAAAAAATGCATCCTTCTGTCCTATGGGTCTTGGGTGACCTGTGCTACAGTGGTTGTGTGTGTGTGAGAGAGAGACAGACTCTTGTACCCCAAGCTGGTCTTGAACTTGTGGTACTCCTGCCTCAGTCTCCCGAGTGTTGGGATTATGGAGGTGAGCCCATTTCTATACTGGGAAGAAGGAAGTGGCCAGCCTGTCTTCCTTAGAGGTAGTGGCTTATTTTGTGTATGTATCTTTAGTACCAAAAAAGTGTTCCTTGGTAAGACTACACTCCAAATTCTGACCTTGATTAGAGAGATTTGGACCTGAGGTTTCATCGGGGGAAATGGTGAGCTTTGGAATACCACGAATCACTATAAACTAGAACGGTTTGCTTTCTTAGGGAGTGAGCCAGGGTGGGTATGTTACTGCCCTTGGGAAAATCGAGATCTTTGTTGAAACAGGACAATAGTCCAGCTCCTGTATTTAATTGGTACCAGCCAGCTCTAGGAAATGCCTGCCTGGGAAGCCTGTCGTGGTTTGGAGAAGAGTTTGGAATAGGACAGGGCTGGTGCGCCTGATTGGTGCTTTGAGGAAAAGAAAATGCAGAATCATTGTGTGCCACTTCTAACTGCTTTAAACTAGAACGGTTTGCTTTCTTAGGGAGTGAGCCAGGGTGGGCATGTTACTGCCCTTGGGAAAATCGAGATCTTTGTTGAAACAGGACAATAGTTCAGCTCCTGTATTTAATTGGTACCAGCCAGCTCTAGGAAATGCCTGCCCGGGAAGCCTGTCGTGGTTTGGAGAAGAGTTTGGAATAGGACAGGGCTGGTGCCCTGGTGACCGCAGTTATCTAAATGCATCTCACAATTCTAGAGGTTTCTAGTATTTTTGAAAAACTAACAGTAGCATAGTTACAGGGGTTTTAGACAGATGTTAATTTATTTTGCAAGGGAATAGGCAGCAAATGGTGTCTCAAAAGTCTCTTTGTTAACTCCTAGTATCAATAAAAATTTGTTTAAACTTCCGACCCGATGTACATCGTAAGTTATGCACAGAAACATCATGCTCTTTCCCTGTCTTGGGGCAAAAATACCCATCTGGACTTGGGGACTGAATATTTGTGGCGTGGAAAAATCGCTTTGGAGAAGGCATAGCCACCCGTGGGGCACAGAAAAAGATACCTTTGGGGAGAAGGAGTATGGCTTAAGGGCAAATCCCTACACCATTAGTCCCCGGAGGACAGTTGGGCATGTCTGAAGATGGTTGTCATGTAGTGGGAAAGGGAGCTACTAGCATCTAAATGTAAAGATCCAGAACGCTACAGAACCGCAAAAATCATCCTAGGATAATCTGGAGCTTTAAGTCTGGTGAATCCTGGTTTCATGGGAGGTTTTATTGTTGTTTTTAACGGTAGTACTGGGGGAAAGGAATAGAGCACTAATAACCTTAACTGGGAGGGAAGAGGTGTTCCAGCATCCAGCAAGTCTACAGAGCTGCTGTGACCCCTGCTAGAAGCACATGGAAGGAAATCAACATCTTCACCCACACTGTCCCCAAGGAATCAGTGGCTCCTTCAACCCCTAACCCCAGCTCATGATAGAGAGATGACGTACTTATTATTTAACCTGCCCTGGTCTTTAAGATGTGCGTTTATTAGTCCCCTGGAGATGAATGTACTCATAAATTTCCTTCCTTCTCTGGGGAGACCAGAGCTTCCTTTGAAGTGAAGATAACTTGGGCCTGCAGGCCCGCTCCTGACTGTAAGGCTGGTGGGAACAGAAAGAAGGTTTGGGTTCAGGAGGGCGGGTTCCCATTTCAGATAAAAACACAAACCTTGCACCTGCAATCCAGAATGGTCTACACTGTGGAAGAGTCTTGATTCTTGAAGGGCAGGTTTGCTGGCCGGTTCTCTGTTGCTGTCTTCAGAGCCTGTTTTATTTTGGAGAGGGTGGACAGGGGCGATTGGATCCCAGCCGCCCCGTCCGCCTTTTCAGAGCTGCAGGAAGGAACAAGCCGGTTGAGCAAGCGCAGGACCAGCCAGGCTCTCTGACAGCCCATTTCTGCAAGGACTTCAGGCCAGTCTAGGGGAGCGGGAGGCTGGCCTACACCCATTTTTATTAATTTCCGTGCTGCTGATCTGATCCCCTAATCGATCCAACTCGGTCCTAGAAGAATAGGCGCCACTGGGACCAAACGGAGGGAGCCTGGCAGGATCCACGCGGCTGGGAGGACAGCACTCCGGGGGACCGGACACTTCCTTCCTTCCAGGACGGTTCTCAAGGACACAGAGAAGACGCCTAGGGAAGGCTTCGGGAGGAAGGAGATGCGGGTTGGCTCCGCTCGGGTCAGGTACCAGAAGGGGGAGGGGTGGCACTTGGGACAGGGGCTGAGGCCGTGGCCTCTAGAGGGCGCGCGCCCCACGCAGTTCGGGCCGCCGGGCTTTGCCTGTTGGTGGGGAGGATGGCAGTCCCCACCCGCAGTCCCCGGCTGCTCCCCTCACCCCCCGAATTCAGCCGCATCCCTGCTGCTCGGAGCAGCCCCGAGCCTACCGGGTCTCAGGTTGCAGAAGAGAAGACCAAGCCCCAGCCTATGGCCTCTCACCAAGACCACCCTGGATGGCACGGGGCCCCTGCGGGGCTCTCACCCGCCCCCACTCTGGGCCCCAGCTGTGTCCGAGAAGCCTTTGAGCCTGGAGGAGTTTTTACACGGCCAAGGATGCACCCGCAGAGAGGTGGGGCAGCTTTGCACACCCCCGACGTCCAGAGCACAGCCCCGGGCCTCCACCAGTGCCCTGTGAGCATCAAAGACACAGAAAGCGGGCTTCACCCGATACTCTGCAAAGAGTCATAAATATTCCATTCACCCAGTGTTTGTGTTGGGCCAGTCTCAGCTCTGGCAGCGCTTGAGCCAGCCCTGCCTTGAGATCGCAGGGAAACCCGCCATACCAAAGACTGCGGCCAGGGGCCCCACACACTTGGACTCTGCTCTCCAGGAGAATCTGTTCAGGGAACAGAAAAGAGCTCCTGGTCCAAGCTAAGGTTGGTAGTGGCCAAAGAGTCAAGGTTGGTGCCGCCCATCACCATGATGACTGTGGTCTGTGCAGTCCCTGGGTAGGATCCCCTGCTGCATGGCTGACTGCCTTCACCTGGCCGCCCCACCACCTTCTTGGCCCCCTGATGCCCATCGCCAGCCAGAGAACCCAGCAAAAAGTTCACTCTGCAGAGTTCACTCTGCCCAGAGCCGTGTTGACCCAGCCTGAGAATTAGACTTTAGACCCCTTGGTACCTGAGACCCTACTCAGCAGGCTGCTCACCGTCCAAAGGGCACAGTGCTCCGTGACCCATGCGACTGTCCATCCCCCTTATCCCAGGGCCTCCCACACAGGTCACTGAGCTAGAGGAGGGAGATGGGGATGGCTGTGCCAGTAGTCCTGCCACTGCCTACCGGGCCAAAGGTAAGAGATGTGTTGGTGTCCACACCCCTCTCCTCGGGCTCTCCGATACCCAGGGATGGCTGCTGCTTCTTCAAGGCTGGAGTGAGGCCAGAGCGACCTGTGCCAGGGAACATGGAGGTGGATGGAGGGTCGATGTGATGTCCTCTTTGGGGATCTAGAGTATGGATCTCCATCGCAGACTCACGACCCTGCCCCCACTGTGGAGACATCTACGGTGGAAAGACACCCACCACCGGCACCCCACACTCTGTTCTCCCTCGACAGTCGGTTTCCCGGCCTTGGGGTTATCTACCGGCCCGCGGAGAAGACCAGAGGCTGTAGGGGGACGGGGTGGGGGGGTGCGGGGCTGAGGCTCTGCGGCTCCGGGTTCACTAATCACATCAGCGCGCTCTGCGCTGGCTCCGAGCAGGCAGTTGCCTAGCAATACCCGCGAATTCAATTCCTCAATCAATAGGCACGAGGTTCTGCATTTCGGGGAGCGCTAGAGAGGTTGTGTGGTCCGGGGGCAGGAATCCTTGAGGAGCAGGCCAGGGCCGCAGGGATCTAGGCTGCAAAGCTCCTGAGTTCTCAGAGACTACCAAGGTCTTGCATAGGAGGGGGTGTGGTACTTTCGGGAGAGACCTCCCTCAAACTAAAGGGGAACCCTGAGGTCATGCACACCTCCGGGTTCCAGCCTTCTGCCTGGGTACCAAAGAAGTGCAGTTATTAGGGAAGAAAGCCTCAGTCTCCCCAGGATGTTGAGGACAATCATCACTGGCTCCCTCCCAAACCCATCTCTCCTCCCTCTCCCAAGTAGGACTCCCTGGTTAGGAAAGGGCCTTTGCCCAAAATCCATTCCGTCTTAAGTGGATGAGGGCAAAGGTAGGGCCCCTAGCGGGTGGTGAAGGAGGAGGTACCAGTCCTTCCCTCAGGCCGCCTCTTCCCTCTTTTATGGGAAATAAAATAATGAAAACCAACACACATGTCTATTTACAAAGTATATATTTAAACACGTAAAAAGTGATACTGGATACAGACATTCACAACCAAAGAAGATAGGTTTCACTCTTGAACTGAGGAGATCAACTCCAGATTTGTACAAATCTGAGAATTAATAAACTCAACACACGTGCCCGGCTGTCTGGGGTTGCAAACCCCCAGCCAGGTTGCAGACCCCTGCCCACCCACCGCCCCCCAGGTCAGCTTCTCAAGAGCGATTGAAGGAGACACACACAACGGGCCACTGACAGATGGGCAGGAAGAGGGGCAGAGAGGGCAGAACCAGGCTGGTCTGAGGAAGGCCAGAGGGAAGGAGTAAAGTCGGCACAAAGGTGGACTGTGGGAGCCAGCAAGAAAGGAAGAGAGCAGTCAGGTGAGGGACGGTGGTCCCAGAGTTACCGTCCACTGGGTAACAGATCTACCCTTCAAAGCAAGTTCACCCGAAAATAGCATCGACATTTAGACAGACACACAGTCAACGACGCTTCTTTATACAAAGTCTAAAATACCAGTTTTACAAACGTGAGCAGACAAAAATCCCCCTTTTAGAGGCTTCTCTTTAGTCGAAATTTGATTTTCAAAAACAAAAACATGTACACATACTGGTTTCTTCTTTTTTTTTTTTTTTCCTCCCTCTCTTTAAAGGCAGGAAAGTCTGGAGGGGAGGGACTGAGCAGCTGGATGTGGGAAGCCAGAAGTGCGAGGAGGACGAAGCTGGGACCCCTCGGTCTCTCCCCATCACCAGGCTCCCCAGACCAACCCCGGGCACCGGCCCGGTCTGTGCTTAGTCCGGAGGAGCACAGCCTCGCGCCCCTCCCTCCCAAAGCCTTGGAAGTTAGATCTTCCGCTGGCCCTTTAAGGGCGGGAGGGCGGAGAGGCTGCCAGATCCGGGCTGGAAGGGGCGAAGGTAGGGTAGGGGACAGATTTGTGCTTTTGAGTCCGACCTGCGCGCTGCGCTGTCCGGAGTGGGCCGGGGCGGGGAGTGCTGGAGGTCGCGGGGCGCACGGCCACCCCCGCCGCTCCCGCTCCACCACCCACTTCGGAGGAGTTTGAATGTCGAGTTCACTTGGAGAGCACTCCCGCGAATCGAAAAGGACTATAAATTACAGCTTTTGCTTTTAAGAAGACAGAAAAAGGGAAAAGCAAAAGTTCTGATGCGCATTCTTAGATGCAAACCCCGCCAAGCCCCTCCCTTCCCTCCCCTCGCCCCGCCACCAACCACCACCCGAGTCCGGCTCCGGCTGTGACCCCCTTGCGGCCCTGCCGGGTGCTTCCCGCGCCCGGACTGGTGCGCAGCCCGCCGCCGGCCCCATGGAGTGGCCTGGCGGCCAAGCATCCCTCCGAGAACAGGACCCACCCTCCCCACCCTCCCCCGGCTAGGGAGGCTTGTCCAAGTCTTCGTGGGAGGTGGGGCCGCCGACTCCTGGCGATGCTACAGGCGCGCAAAGAAGTCCACCCCGAATACTTTTCTTGTAAAACAACTGTCTGGCGCTCTGGGCACTGACATGACACGCAATCTCCCAATTTATCCTGGCATTTCGGGAATGTAAACAGATTCGCTGGATTTCTTTTCTCTCTGCAGAGTAAGGAAAGGAATCGAGGGAACGGGGAGATTTTTGTCCACACGACTTATACACAAGGTCCGCGTGTACGGCACTCACACCTCGGGTAAAGTGCACCTCCTGGCGTGGTGGAACAGCCCCACCCACCCGCGATATTTACCTTCAACAACACACGGGGAAGTTATTTAAGTCAATACCTTTTCCCCTAATAGACTTCTTAATCTAATAAAAAAAAAAAATAGAAAAAAGAAAACTAGGCTGACCCCACCCCCCTTTTTCTGATTGGGAAGCCAACCTTTTGTTGGCCTAACTGGCCAATGGGAAGAGAGCAAAATCCCGGCCCTGCCTTGGTGCCAGGAGTCTGGCATTGGGAATCGGGTGGAGGGAGGAGGGAGGAGGTGGGCAGGCTGTCCCTCCAGACACCCTCAGAAACCCAGTGCCCAAGCCCCCAACTATCCTACTGCCCTGGGGCGAAGGTCCTTTTTGTCCCAGCTCAGTCTAACCCTACTAAACCGCAATCTCTCTCTCTCCTTGTTTAAATAAAACAACTTCAAGAGTTGAAATATATATATTTGGATATTTTTCTTAAATAACATATTTACATCTAATAGAAAATAGAACTCTAGAGATAATTTCCAACCAGACGGAGGAAGAGGAATGAAAGGGACTGGGGTGGGGGAGGGGGAAGTTAAGGACAGGACCAGCCAGAAGGCCACATCCCACCTAGAAATAAAAAGCACTATGCCACATTTGCGCTCGCTCACTCTGGCCTGCTCTTGTCCTGGGCTCCCTGCCCCCAGCAATTCATCTTTTCTCCTTAAAGAAGCCTTGGTCCGTGTTACTTTCCTTAATGGTTACGGTCAAAAAGTTTGAAGTCACATCTGTGACCACCACCTTCTCCAGGTTAGTCAGAGACGGGCTCCAAGACTCTTCCTCTGGGTCCCCCAGGATTCTGGCCACTGGGATCCTGGCGATGAGGGAGGGCCTTCCTCCTTGGGCCCCCATGTCCCGATACAGGCTCCCCACAGATCCTGGGGTGCCTGAACTATGCCGGACCCTGGGGCCACCAGGATCTAGGGCACCTTGGCCTTTGGCCTCCAGGAAGGTAGCCCTGTGCTTTATCACCCTGGCTGGAAAGGTGTCCACAGCCAGTTTGCCTGAGGCCTCCGTGGAGCTGGGGCTGGTCACACCACATTGCACCAGGTCCGAGTCCTGCCTTCGGGCCAGCTGGATCACACTGTGGCCGGCTGGAAACTTTCCTGTCCCAGTAGGGGTGTCATCCAGCTTCCTGCCTTTGAGGTATTCTCCGAGGCCATCGCTGGGCTCTCCCAAAGGCCTCTGTGAGGGGTCCAGAAGCTCCTTCCGGGGCTTGGGACCTCGCTTCTTGGAGCTGTCCCCAGGTGAGCTGGGCTTGTCATCTACACGGCTGGCACCCCTTTCTCGTTCCCTCTCACGATCTCGCTCCCTCTCTCGCTCTCGGTCCCGCTCCCTTTCCCTCTCCCGGTCCCGGTCCCGAGGGGGGTCTACTCGGCAGGTGCTGCTGGTACTGCTGCTGCTCCCTGGTGGGGACAGACCCATGTTCCGAAGGCCTTCCCGGGCCCGAGAAGTAGATGCCAAATCCTGGGGTGAGCGGCCTGGGTAGGGGATCCGGATGCCTCGGGCAGAGTCACTTCTGAACTCGTAGGTTTTGGCTTTTGCCTTGGCCTGGGCCTGCAGAGAGAAGGTGGTGTCAAGAACAGCAGGGCCCCACCCCCCACACCTCCTCCAGCCTTGACTGCCCAGCTTCATCCCATGCCTGTAAATCTACACGGGTGGGAAGGTGGGGCTTAGTGGTAGTGGTCTGGGGGAGGGGAAGAGGATCTGTCTGGAAGCAGCCAATTGCAAACAACCCACTCCTGTATTCCATTCTAGGTCCTTTTGGGATGGCTGAAGGAATAAAGGCCTGCTGCTATAGCTAAGTCCCGCCCCCAGAACCCCTGGGTGCAGCCATTGACTTGAGGATGTGCTGTCAGAGGACACCCTCCTAGATTACAAATAAGCAGAGGGTACAGACACCCCATTGGTTCACAAGTCCTCAGGGTCCCCTCTGAATGCTCACAGCCCACCATTGGAGACTGCCACACCACCTTGAGAAGGAAGGTTTTGGGTTTGGGCCCTCGCTTTTTGGGGCCATAGAGCTCCATCTCCCGCTCCCTAAAGAAAGAAAGAAAGAAAGAAGGGGGTGTGTGAGCAAAGAAACAAGCAGGGCTCAGTCTCAGCTACACCAAAGCCACAAGCTACCCTTCCCAGTGAGTGGCTGTGCTGAGAGGGGTCTGTACCTTTCCTCAAAGGCCGCAAGCAGCCGGGCATCCAGGATGTTTTCTTCTGGCTCCCATGTGCTGTACCTAAAGGGAATCAGAAAGAAGAGGACATCAGTCCCTGAAGCAGGCAGAGGGCAGAGCAGAGGGTGTGTGTGTGTGTGTGTGTGTGTGTGTGTGTGTGTATGTGTAACTTTTCTGGATGCCTTGTGTTGTATTTCAATGTAAAGAGAAAAGAAGGAAGAAAGAAACCTCAATAACAGTGTGGGGTTGGGACTGCATATAACCTACTTACTTCTGCGACCAGCCCTTCCATTTCACGAGGTATTCCATGCGTCCCTGCGGATGCAAAAGGGAAAATACGTGTGTGTGTGTGTGTGTGTGCGCGCGTGAGGAGGAATGCATGACGAGGACACAAGAAATACACGCGAAAATGCAAGCACCAAATGCATGCTGGAAACCCAATCGCCAAAGACACCAGCCCGCTGCATCGCCCCTGCACAAAGTGCATGCACCGGCATTCATTCCCCCACCCCGCCCCCCATCCATGCAATCTGTGCATGGCTGCAAGTCTAAGGGGGACGCTGGGGCTCAGAGCTGCCGCCGCCGCCGCCGCCACGGCCGCTACTGGGACCTGGGGGAAGGGAAGCTGGGCTGCAGCAGGGGGAGGGAACCTGGGCCCGGAGGGGAGGGCCCGGCCGCGCCAAGGCCGGAGGCCCGGGCCACTTACTTTCCGTATGCGCCGCTTCAGGAGGGCTTCGGCCGCGAACACCCGCTCCCCCACCGCCGAAAGCTCCATGTTGACTCCCCGCTTCCCCCCTCGGCCGCTTCCAGGAGCAGAAAAGCAGCAGCCAGCGCACGACAGCCCATAATACTCTCCCGCTGACGTCAGTTCTCCTCCCTCCCCGCGCCAGCTCCCTCCCTCTGCGCCCCCGCCCGCGCCGCCGCGCTCGGCGCCCTCCTCCCCGCCCGGCGCTTCCTCCCGCCCCACGTGTTGCTAACGACGTTGCTAAAGCGGAGCGGCCGAGGCCCGTTCCCGGGACGCTGATTGGACGAGCTTCCGGCCACGCCCCTCTCCCTTTCTCCCCCGCGTTGCTACGTGACCCGCGTTCCAATCGCCAGGGGGCGGAGTCGAAGGCGACTCCAGAGACCAGGGGTGGGGGCTGCCGGCGGAAGTGACGCAGGGCGGGGCGGGCCAGGCGGCTGTCAGTCTGCGAGGCTGGCCGGGGGGCGGCTGCCCTCTGCTCTCGCCCGGGCCTCCGTCCTCCGCCGCCGAGTGGTCCCCCTGGTGCCCGGCGTGTCCCCCGCCGCTCTCGCTGGGACCCCCGCGGCGGTGTCAGCCGGGCCCCGACCCCCGGCAGACCCAGGCCCACCCTCCCGCACGGCCCCAGCCTCTCACGGTCCCATCCCCCGCCGCGCGCGCCGCACAATGCACAATGCACAGGTGCTGGGACGCCGCGGGCCGCGCGCGAACCCCGGGACCTGCGGCGCGCCCTCTCCGAAACCCCCCTCCCGCTCCCGGACCCCTCCCCTCGATCCGCGCACCCGCGGTCTCCATGGCAACACCCCCCTCCCCGTCGTCGCCAGTCCCATCCCGCTAACAAATCAACGTGCCCGCTCGGCTCCGGGTCTCCAGTTGCGCAGCGCTGCCCGCGCCCACCCTCCGGGCCCTGCACGCCGCGCTGGCCGGAGCGCTGCCCCGGGCTTCGGGAGCCGAACGTAGACCCGAGGCAGGCCGGTGGTTCCGACCCGGGACCTCCTGGGTTGGGAGACCCCCCCCGCGGGAAGGGCCCTCGACTCTGTCCTGCCCCCCCCCGACGGCTGATGCCACCTGCCCCCGCCTGGGCAGCCCGCCCACACGAGAAGCCGGCCTTGGCCAGGTCGGCCCCGGCCTAGGTGGGTTTAGAGCGTGGACGACCATCAAGGCAAAGCATAGGGCTTGGCTGGTTTTGGGGTGAGCAGCTGGGGGATGCCTCGGACTTCCTCCAGAACCGGGTGTCCGGCCAGCGCACTTCCTGTCTCACGCTCTTCTCGACTTGCGCGGTGGCTACACCGAGAGGAACGTGGGCGCGGAAGTTGGGGGGTGCGTCTTGGGGTCTAGTGTGGCCTTGGGGAGAGGGTCTCGAACGCCGAGATGGCGAGTCCCGGGTAGGAGGACAGGGTCACTCAGAGATGCTTCGATCCCGCACTCGTGTGCGCGCAATCGCTGACCCTTCGCTTCCCCGGCGCTTTGTCCTGGGAGCGGGGTGACCAGTGTTGAGGGTTCGGCAGCTGCAGTCTGGGCCCACCTACCCCCCCCTTTTCTTTCATCGTTCAAGCTCCGGATCACAGTGCCCAACTCCTCGGAACCCACGATTTAGTTAAATCGCGATGATCCACTTGACTGGGAGCCGCTTCCCTGGCCAGGGATAGGGAGAAAGGAAAAGCAGAGCGAAAGAAGGAACGCTACAGACAGAAGCGGCGAGCCAAGGAGTCTGGTTCGAAGGGCAGGAAGCCTAACGCGGAAAGCTGGCCTCCCGTCCAAAGCGAGGTGCAGGGCAGGCGGGCGCGGTTCTCCGCCGTGGGGCAGGCGCAGAGCTGCCCCCCCCCAGCCCTCCTCTTGCCCCTGCCACAGCGGGTTCCAGTTTTTGGCCTCATTCCCAGACTTTACAAGGTGGGTGCGAGGTTCAGCAATCCCATCTCTCCAGTTCTTAACGAACAGCGCACCCACGACACCCAGATCGCCCGGGTGACCCGCGCCCGCCGCCTGCAAGAGGCCGCCGACGGCTGCGTCCTTAATCATAAAAAGTCATTCTCGGTAACAAATAGTTTCGTCGGCCGGTGCCAGCGATACAGCTGTTTCTGTTTAAGCTTAAATACTTTCCAACAGTTTGGGCAGTAAAAATAAAGTCGGCCTCAGCCGCCTGTAAGTGTCTGGTTTCCCCGCCCAGGGAAAGCCCACCCTAGCCCTCGGTCCGGGTCGCTCTAAGCGCCCTGCCTGCCGGCTCTTGGATCTGCTGCCCGCCTCGGGGCGACCGCTGTCGAGCCACCCGGAGCCAAGCGCGGCCCGCGGCTCTTCCAAGGACTGCAGGGCCACCTGGAAGCGGGAGTGAGTGCGCTGCGTGGAGAGGCTGGGGGAACAGTCCCCCTCCCCTCCATCGCCTTCTCCCACCCCTGGGAACTTTGCCCATCCGGAGAAAAGTGGTGGTTTCCCTTCAGCTTGGGTTTCGGGGAACACTGTCCCCAAATTGTGCCTGCCCTCAGAGCCTCTACGGACCTGGGGTTTTCAGGAGGCGGGCCACGCATCAGTTGATAGTTTCAGTTTCACCCCCAAACCTTAGCTCTTCTCCATCCGAATTCATCGCTCCTCTCCTTCCCTTTCTTCCTCTTCTGTCTTGCTTTCCTTCCCACGTTCTCTAAGTCTCACTTTTTTGCCTAAATAACCCGTGAAGCTTGACATGGAGAAAGGAATATTCCCCAGCTCTGCCAGGTACCGCTGCCTCCTCTAAAAGGGCAGTTAGCTGATGATTGTTTCTGACTTCTGGCTCCATTTCCCCGTTTTATGCCTCATGGTCATCCTTTCCTAACAGCTTGCTCTGGTCAAAATTAGTACTTGAGAGTTGTCTCAGTTTGCAAACGTGTAGGGGGCTCCTGCGAAACAGGAAAAGTACAGAATAACCCGAGGTCGGAGGGAGCCCGGCTCTTGTCAAGGCAGAGTGAGCGGTCCTGCGGAAGAAGTCTACCGCGGAGGGGGTGGGAAGTCTCTGCACCCGCGCGCCCAGCTCCAAGCTAGAGCGGGGTTGCAGAGGTGTGACATCAGGTTTCTGGCAGGCCGCGCTCCTGGACAGTTTGGAAACAGAAGTGGCCATCTGAGGAATGGGTGTGCAGTCTCACTCGTCCAGAGCTGGGGTCTGCTTTGGTGGAAATGGGAATTTGCCTGTGTGTGCCAGGAGAGGGCACCCGCTTGTGAGGGGTAGTGTCCTCATTCTAACCCAGTCTAGACCGGGTTTGGGCGGGTCAGCTGTTAGCGCTGTCCCGGGAACCTGCGCAAGGATTCCCTGCACCTTTTCCCACTGAAACCCCCCTTGCCCGCCGGCTCAATTCTCCACACCTCTCCTTTACACACAAGGGCTTTCCTCTTTCCAAGTTAATAATTGCTCTTCCCACGTGCACCTTCCAGGAGTAAACAAAACGAAGTTTCAGTGAACAAGAATTCGCTGATCTCAAGCTCACTTCCAGACAGCCGCCGCTGCCAGGTTTGCGTGCGCCGCCTCTGCAGTAAATAAGGTAACTGCTTCCTATTACTTTAGGCCATATGGCTGCAATTTGAGTGTCTTTGGAGACAGTGCGTGTGTAGGGGAGGGGGGCCCAAGGGGGAGTGAAAGTGGAAATCAAATGCTCTTAGATCGCATTTTTATGAAGGAAATTGTCTGCGATTCTCCTTAACAGCCTCCCGGCTCAGCAGACAAACTGCTAGGTTTCTTTGTTTACAGAAATGCGGACTCCCGCTGGCCTGGGGACACCTGCTACCCGAACCTCCGGCCTCCAGCCCTATTTCTCACCGACTCCGGTGACCTGGAAACGGGGCTCAAGACCGCCCTTCTCCACCAAGAACCCTAACCGGCCGCTGGGTGCCCGCCCGACCTCTTCCATCCCAAGCTGTCAAAGATTCCGTGGAGCCCTCCGAGCCCGACTTGGACTGTGGGCCCGCATCTGGGGCCACTGAGGCCTGGATGTGCCCGCTGACCACCGACGCAGGTTCCCAGGAGCGAAGCCTAAAGCTGGCGTGGTCCTGGGAAAGACCGGCGCGCCGGGTGGGGTGCTCGGCTCTTCGGTCGCCGTCCAGACTAGCAAGCCCCAGCGCGTTCTCAGCTTGAGGCTGAGGCCAGGCCTCGGCTAGTTCTTTGGGAGCTTTTCAACTGCGCGGCTTGGCGGGCGTCGGACCTGCCCAGTCTTGGCCACGCACGCGGGCGGATTTGGAGCTATGAAGTGAGCTCAGGCGGTTCTGAGTGGCCATGTGGGCCGTGGCTACTCGAGCCATGCCCCTTGGCCAGTAGCTGACCTCCCACCGACCTGGAGGTGGATCAGGCAGGCATCCACTCATCAGGGCTGGGTGCCTGCTTGAGTGAATTATCTCCTGCTGCCCTAGTGGTAGTAGTGACCCCCCACACCCTAGACAGAAGTTGGAAGGCCCAGCCTGGGCAGGTTGCCCAGGATCTGTGTCTGTGGCTCCAGCCCCAGATTAAGAAGGGCCTTGCTTTCCTACTCCACATTCTCTTCTCACCCCCTCCTAGCAAAGGTTCTTGGACAGCAGAAGGGGTAATGCTGAATGAGAAAAGCCCACCCTGGGTAGCCGAGGGCCTGCACACACCAGTCACATTTGGTGCCTACCCCCTTAACCACAGGACCCAGAGCCAGCCCCCTAAGTCCTCCAGGGAGGAAAAGTCCCAAGTAGAAGCCCCTCCATCAGGCAGCTACAGTGGACCTGACCTTTGCAACCAGCCACCCAGGGGACTCACAGCATCCAGGGAAGATCAACTCTCCAGTTCCTCTTTGATAGGTGGGACTGAGACTTGCCCAGGCTGAGGCCCACAGCAAAGGTTCTGCCCGGAAAGTTTAGCTCCTACTGCTGTCACAGCAGGGGCTTACAACCCTCAGGGCATTTCAGTTCAACTAGGACTTGAGAAAGGAATCTGAGGTAAGAAAGGGGGGGGGGGGCCTGGGATAGCACACAAGTCTCTTAGCAGATCTCTCAACAACAAAAAAGGGTAAGACTGTTCTAATAGGAAAGTGAAGGTTTCCAGAAATTGCTCCACACAGCCAGAGACTGGATGTGGATGGAAATCTTCACAGCTATGTGGGCTGTGGGACCAGCCTGCTTTGAGTTCAAATCCACTTGCTACCTGTATTGCTTGTGTGTACAAAAGTTATTTAACCTCTCTGAGCTAAGGATTCCAACAGTTAGATTTAGGGACAGGACTTCCAGATTTAGCTCAGTCTGCAGTCAAACTCCGATCCTCCTCTTGCCTCAGTCTCCAGAGTAGGGCTATTACTCTGAGTACCATATGCCCAGCTCTACTTTTAAAAAGGAGGTATTAGCATGCTTGTTTAACAAAATTCATAAGGTGGTTAAGATACATAGGCACAACACCCTGTCAGGCACGGAGAAATGTAACATGAAATGTTTGTTGGTGTTACTGCTGTAGATGTACGGTCGAAACAGGCTAAGGGAACCCAGCAGTTCTGATTTGGATGACTTTTCCCCAGGGAGCCTAGTGTCAGCCAAGACAGTACCTAGTTTTCAATGAGGGACACCCACGGAGAGGAAGCTGAGCTCCCACCCACCCTTCCTGGGACGCGGACGGTGTAATTCTCCGACATAGTTTGCGGGGCGGGGGTGCGGGGGTGGCACAGTGGCTAGTCAGGGAAACCCAGGCGCGGCGCCTCCGAGCGCTGGGCGGCAGGAGCACGCGCACAGTGGTTGACCCGGCACGCATGCGCGCAGTGGGGCGGACCCCCTTCCCAGCCCTTTCCCGGGAAAGCAGCCTGGCTTTGGTGGCGGAAGCCGGCCCTGGGATCTCGGAGGAGCCCTTAGGGTACTGGGGGAGGTGGCCCCGAGATGGGCGGGAGCTTTCGTGTAGCCTCGCCCCCGCCCACTTGCTGGGAAGGGCGCTGGCGGTGGATTTTTGGGGCTCTCTGTTCCCACCGCCTATAGAAACGGGGCTCGACGGACTGGACTGCATGGCCCAGCCCTGACCGACCGTGAGGCCAGGAGAGAGTAGGGCAGCGAGATGAGGGTCAAATGAGCAGCCTAGTTTGGCTTCAGGGCCTTGGAGTCCCTTCTGAGATCAGGGAGGTCCCCGAGCCCCCCCACCCCTAACCTGCCGCGTGGACTCTCCAGCTGTCCCCGAGGATCGAACCCTTTGGCAGCAGCTCAGGGCATCCCAAGTGTAGACTGACCCTGATTCTCTTTGCTCTGAGTCAGCCTTGGCCTAGGTATGCGGCTAGACTGGTGAGCGCCCTCTTCACCTACGGTGCCCAGCAGAAAGAGGGACCGCTTACCACCACCCCCCGGAAAACAAGGGGTTGACAGTGGCGTAAGGGATGGTAGCGCAGCCAAATCACCGGGCCCCCTGGGCCCCCTTGAACCCGGCTCCGTCCAAATCTTCCCTACCCGCGCCCAGACCCCGGAACAGGCTCCAGAAAAATCCGGGGAAGCCTCGTCCGGTGCACTTCCTATCCAGCCCCCAAGCGGAAGGAATCGAAGTGGCTACCGCCCAACCCGCACCCCTCGATGTCCGAGACCTCCAGTTACCTGCGGCCAGCGCCACGGCCTCCAGAGTGGTTTGCCCTGAGAGCCAAAGTTCAGCCTCTCCTTTTAGAAAAACCCAAGGTGCTGGAGACTGCCGGGTCATTCGAGGAAGCGCCGACGAGGCTGGGCCTCCTCCAGGACGTCGGGGTGGAGCAGCACGCGCCGCCCGCCCGCGGGAGTGGGCAAAGCGGTGTCTGCGCGCGTGGCGCCCAGCCCCGGGGCAGCAGTGTGGGAGTCCGCGCGGAAAACGCAACGATGGCCGGAGGAACCCGGCTTCTGCCTACACTCTTAACCAGCGCCGCTGCCTGCACCCGGCAGCCAGGTTTCCGCAGGACGGCCCCACGCGTGATGTCAGACACTGGCGGGCGTCGAGGTGTCGCGGCCCGCGAGTTGCAGCTTCGCGCACGCCCAGACGCGGTGTGGCGGGTTCCAGGGCTTTGAGAGCACGCAGGACCGGCGGCGGCCGGCTTCGCTCGGTTCACGAGCCTGGCAGCGGGGGGTCAGACTTGCGCTCCCTGGCTGCTCAGGGTGGTTCAGCCCTGGTGAAAGACCCGAAACCCCCTCCAGTCCACGAGCCCAGACGCCCGTTTTCGGAGCGGAGGAAGCCTTGGGTCCGCTCCCCCCCCACCCCCAGGAAATCAGATTCAGGGAACGTGGTACCGTATTTACCCACACAACCTTCTCCTTTGACATTTTGCACTCCTAAAGTTGGGGCAGCAGGAATTATGTGAACATTTGGGGCGGTCCAGCGCGCCTCCCCGCGCGGTTTTCTTCAGTTACTCTGGGAGCCCAGCTCCCTGATTGGCATAACAACAGCCTATCTGATACATCTCTGCAATCAGGCAAATTAATTTTTTTCCTCAACTCATCCTTAACATTCTGGAACAGGCTTGGGCTAGAAAAAGTGATTTGGTAAAGGATGTCTGGTCCTTAGGACCAGGGAGAGAGGAAGTTTAAATGTAATATTCACGCTGAGTTTCTGGGCTTTTCTGGTTTCAGGCTTAGAGTTTAAGTTACTTTGCCCGCAAACGGGCAAAGGGCAGAGCCGCTGTAAGGGTCCTTTAGGACACCTAGTCCATTACCCCATCTATGGTAGGGGGTTCCTAATTCCAGTGTGGTGGGAAGACCGGGTCAGGGTACACTGGTGGACTGGGGAGTTGAAGACTGACAGTAAATGTGACCCGGTGGGGAGGGATAGATCCAAAGTGCGTCAGGGAAGGATTAAGGTGGCGGCTAGTGACCAGGGCTTGGTGCCCGGGTCTGTGCGCTCCTTGGCTCGGCTCCCCACTCTTTGGAGAGTTGAGGCAGAGCACTTCCTGCTCCTGGATAGGCATCTCCTACACTGTGGCAGCAGAAGTCGTTAGATTTAAAGCAGAATAAAAGGGTGCGTGGGCGGTGAGGGGCATTATGGGGGGAGGAAACATCTTTTACACATTAAAAATCTTCTTGATCTTTCTTAATATGAGGAGAAGTGGGAGGGGGAAACCCGCAAATAAATATGGTAAATGAGTTCGGACCAGAACTGTAATCCTGGGGCCACTTTTAGGCAATTCTGGGATCCAGGGGATTTTTTTTTTTTTCCTACAGAACTTGTCCCCTCCACAGCCACCATCCTCCCCTTTGCAGTAAATACTTAGAAGGAGGGAGCTTGGGGGCCATCCTGCCTCCCCACACAGGGCTGTCTCTGCTAACAGATGTGTTATGCTTAATGAAGGGAATGCCCAGAGCTCTGGCTTGCAAGAAGCCAGAGATAATTCTTAAATTCCTTTTAAAATCAGCGGTGGTACCGGAAGCTGAGGGATTGCCTCAAGGTAGAGCATACTGCAGGATAAGATGAGAGGCAGGAGAGAAATGGGCAGACCACTTCAGGCCGGCCAGGAGGACTGGTGGGGTGGGGAGAGGCTTGCAGAAGTCCTGTGGGAAGAAAGGAAGGTTGTCCCTGGAGAGGTAAAGTAACTCTGTGGGTACCAGAGACGTCCCTCCAGCTCCTCCCTCTTTACTCTACTTTGAGGTTATTTTTGTGATGACATCTTTCCACCTGCTTGGCTGGTGCAGCACTACCCAAATTATCTCCTTGGGGGCGTGGGGGAAGGGGAGGGAGAGAAAGAACATATCAGCACAGCTTCCCTGAGGGAAAGGAGTATTCTCCGGAAAGAACGTGCTGTAACGCCCAAGCAAAAACTCCAAGTCATCCCCAAGTCTTATCCTAGCCAGAAAACTATGGGTGAATTGGAATTCAGAACATTCAGTCTCAGACCTGGATTTCCACCTGTTTCCCCCTTTTGGAGAAGGGAAGCCTCAGGATTAAAAGCAGAGGAGAGCAGTAAAGTAGTCCTGCTGGGTTCTATTCTCCCCCTACACCCGAAACTTCTTCGGTCTGCTGGAGAGCAACCTAGTTCAGTTACAGGAATGTCCTCCTTACCTCCACTCCAACCAAACTGAGCCCAGGGACTGGCCCTGTCCTTGTGTGGGGCTACCATCTAATCTAGAGCTACCATCTAATCTAGAAGTCAGCACAAGTACCTCAGAGCAGGAGCCGACTGAAAGTGAACTCAAGGAGAAAGATACTGCCCGCTGACCCACTATAGGGTACCTGGGTGCTGGAGGCTAGAGGGTTTCCCACCATAGCTTCCCAGAGAAGACCACAGGGTTGGCCTGCTTCCCTTCAAGGGGTCAGGAACTTTTGAGAACTTTTCAGAACAAATTTCCAGCGTCTTGTCAGGAGAAAAGTTTGCACCTATGTTCAAGTCTAGTCAGTGGCGATGCGGAGTAGAAATGGAAAGAGTAAACACAAGTTGACAGAGGCAGAATCTGACTGGGTTTTAAAGGCGTTCTCTCCTGGGAGGGAGGAACACTCAGAAGTGGTGGGGGCTCAGTGGGTAAGCTGAGATCCCAGAAACTGCCGCTTTGTGGGTGAGGGGCAGTGGCTTTGGAGAGAGAAGAGACACAGAAAGGGGATAGGAGAGTGAATCAGGAAGATAAAGCCCTTTTCTCTGCCCACATCGGTGAGGTCCCTCTGAATTGAATCTGAACCTCTGATGATCCCTCCCAGCTGGCCCTCTGAGGACTGTTAGCCACCCAAATGGGGGGTTCGGAGCTCAGCAGAATCTGAATCCAGGAAGCACCCTAAGTGCCTGCACCAATTCCCAGATGAGTACATGCTTTTCCATTCTGCTGCTGCGATGGACAGTCACCATGGGTTTGCAGGCAAGTACTCTGGAATCCAGGAACACAGGACCCCACACGTTACACATACCACACCTGCCTTCATTTCCCAAGCTGCAGAATGGGGTCTCAGGCTCACTCTATGTTCACAATGCATCTGCGGATTTAGAGACCCTTTTCTTTGGAAGAATGCTCCTGGGGCTATCACAGAGCTTCCAGGATGTTCTGGGAAACTTTGAGTGGGGCGTGTGTAGACTGTTACAGGAGCCATGCAGGACAGGAGGAAATTACGGAATGATGGGACAATAGCTGAAGCTGGCACCCACCAACACATCAGCCAGGGGAGCCTATGGGGATCACAGAGTGCCTGTGCCCACCCTGGCTTCTGTGGAAGTAAGGTTTCATGCTTTCATCCCCAACACTGGGCACTAAGCTTGGTACAGGCATGCCAAAGTGTACCTTTGTAGCTCCCATCCCCAGAATGAGGACCGCTCCATCCCAGGACCTATGCCGGGTGCTTCCCAGACTTTTTACTCCTAACCACAGTCCTTTGAGGCAAGCTTGTTAACTGCCTTAAAGAGGAAGAGAGATGCAGAGGCTCAAGTAACTTGCTGAGGACCATGTTAAGCTGGGGGGGGGCGGG